ATATATATATATATATATACTTTAACCAATCCTGAAATACGTCGTATGGTATTCGGCAAATCTTTTGGTGGACCGTCGGTTGATCGTTTGGTACAATTGCACCAGTTTGCCGGTTCGTTCATGTGATAATGATGCCCCAAGACCATTTAACAGGGCGAATCTTATCTGTCGTGTCGGCATTAGAGCGGAAGAGAGCAACGGTTAAACTGGCTATGAATTATCAAGGGTATCACTTCAGTGTATGCCATTTGTCAGGGAGAGGCGCTAATGACCCATCCGATCGGTGACTGGAGATCATAGTCAATACGGCTAAATCGTGAAACCAGTGGCTTTTGCTTCCATCCAATCACCCCCACTTCTCCATTTTACTCCCATAGTTTCTGTTTTGTTATTTCACCACCCTCTTTTCATTTTTCTTCCTTTTCGATGGCCCGGGGGCTGCGGACTAGAGCTCACGGTTGAAAACAGTTGAACAGTAATATAAACACATTATTTTGCGGCATGACTCCATCAGTGGGACTGACCCAAAGCCCTTGACCAATCTCGTTCAGTAGCAGCTCAGCATGCAACCTTCAGTGAGGCAGTGTACTTTGTCATATCGAGTTTGTAACCGCATGCAGGGAAATCGCATAAATCTTAATCTAGAAGCTATGCGATCTCACACTATCCATTTTGACTGTAGCCGCTTCCATTTCACTTGGGAATTTTATGGCCCGAATCTAATGCCAGCATGAGTTCGGAATGAACAACAGTACTTGGTTAGGCGTGCGTTGTACATTTCTGAACTACCTCAGCTTGACTAGTTTTTTATTCGCTGCCCTGTTGCGTTACATAGTACACATTTGCGCACCAACTTGTAGCATACACGCCGCAACTAACCGACTCCAGGTGTGCTACGAAAGCTGTAGTGGGAAGAGATTTGGATGTCTTCATGGTTTCCAGGTCGAAAGTTTCGCAGTCACAAGGCAAGTTTGTTCTCCGAGCCGTTTCATATAACGGTCCTTTAACCTTAGTGAAATTGGTCGTTGATATCACGAATTATGCATGCTCGCTTGACTGCATTTGTCTCAACACAGTCGCAGCTTGCAAGGCACGTAGATCGATTACTAGTCTCAAGCTGTTCGCCTCGTGTTGTGTCTTGCTGAACAGTAGTGCAACTCTGTATCGGTCCCTTGGCTTCCTGCTCCGCCCACTGTGGTATTCAAAAAGCACGGTGGCTCTACCCAGCCCTTTATGGAGACCAAGGAAAAGTATTACAACTGTACTTATAGGGTAGTCACAGAGTGTTCCACAAAGTCGTGCCAGAATGTCCGTGAGGGGGCGAGAAGCGTCGAGTCAATGATGCTCGACTCGGACTGGCCAGCATTCTGACCAATCAGAGCATGCCTTCGTTTGGTCCGTCTCCTGCACGTGACACATCCGTCCAAATAATGTGACGCTCGGTTATTAGGGTCGGCTGACATCCGGACATCTCGAAGCCTCAAAGGGGCACAGGAGGATGGAACATCCTGAAGGAGGACTTAGCGCTTCGCCGATGTAAACTGCCTGGCGAAACAAAGGTCCAAATGCAACATTCTTAATAACAAGACGATAATCCAAGTCCACTAGTTTATCTCCACGTGCCATTTCCATTCCTAAACTTCCTGTACTTTGTAACGTAATTCCATGACAAACATGGACGAAAGGATCGATAGAAGATGGCCTCGGCCAACTCCACCAATTACGGCAAATATTTTGTCAGCTCTTTGTAAACGCTGACACGCTCGAAGGTGTTAGAATAAAGGACACAGAGTATATTGGCAGACTTCGGGGCTATTCCTACTTGCCTCGACCTACAAAATCAAAGCCTCATGTCAAGCCATACAGCAGTGACGGTTGGTCGAGCGTATACGTGGTGCCGGTTATGCAGCGATTTGATTAACTGTCTGATGCTGCCGTGATATACACTTGTTAGCGGAGCAGCAGGGCTGCACAACCACAAAGTCAGCGGGAATCCTTTATTGGTTTTCACCACCTTTTCGTACGGTTTTCCTATAAAGCAAGGGGTTTACTTGTAGTATCCCACGGGACTTGTTTCTTTTGATCATCATCATCATCATCGACAGCATGACATCAGTGTTCGACACTGATGCTTTACTGCCAATGCTTTCTTACGATACAGGCAGACGTTGACGGAACTTCTAACCAGTATAAGCACACACTACCAGCTACATTCCAAGATGACAGTTGTTCGCTCTGTGCATCCCTCTCTGGCTGTCACAACTTATCTGCCTGACAGTTTGAAAGCGGAATTCCAGTAGTATGATGAGCACACGTCACATGCGACCGATGCTTCCATACCATGATTTTCACTCTATCATGAGCCTGTCAGTCGTCCATTCTTTTGGCACCTGGCTGTCGAACGCATCGTCACATTTCTTAAGCTTATACGGGGACATTTAAACGGAGTTGTTGCTTAGTAGCCTCAGTCTAAGTCGTCTGAAAGGTAGAAAATTTCGACCCTAGCGCCACCTGCTTATTGGTTTTTTTCGAGTGAGGATCACACGACGTGAGGATGAGATATTCTCCACTGCCTTTATCACTGAGCTATCTCGAGCAGGTGGAATAGGATATCGTCATTTGGATATTTCTTCTGTGATGTGAAGTTCAGCTGTAGCACCCTTTCGGTGCCTAACTGCCATGCCACCCGAAGGTTGCACGAGGGCTGGGATACTGTCAGGTTGCCCAAGCCTAGACAGGGGAAGTCGAGTGGCAGAGGTCGGGTTCTAACCACGGACCTTCCGGTCAGTAAATTCGCGCTCTAACCACTTGGGCCATCTCGCCCCGGATATTTCTTCTAGGAATAAAACAATCATTACTGGTTGAGAAAAGGGTTTATTTACGGTTCCTTCAGGCAAATCTTTTTTTGCTTCGTTCACCACATGCGTGGTTTAGAATCTGACCTTGGGTGAATCTTCCGGTAATTGCTCCCAACTATTTTGCGATCTCCACACAGTATTTCACGGGCTTCTAGCTACGAACTTGGTGTTCCCATGAGTTACCGAATCTTGCCACATTTACCTGACGATTCACAATCAGGACCAACCACATCGGCTGTAGGAGTTTTTTTGCCAAAAAACATCCTGTAGAAGGTAGGGATACTGTGTTTAAAACGTGGTCGCCCAGTTCGCTACTGGCCTCATATCCGCCATGGCATCGAGCGTCACCATCAGTGTTACAGAGTTACCCCATTTCCCCCGCACCTTCTATTCGTCCGATCGTGGTGGCTCGCCATTCTCAGTTGCTTCCAAATCATCCAAAGATCCTAATTTGCTTTCGTGGTAATTTCTAGTTTTATTTGGATGTGACCTTCGCAGTGACTTAGCCAATCGAATAACGACATCCAGGTGAAAGGAAGAAGACCCTCGCTGCGGAGTTATTTACTGGAAAATGCCAACTGACCAGTTACAGACTATTAGACAGGGAAGCAAAACTCTAATTTGCATCTTATTTATAAAAACTAGACATCCATCTTCTCCTGGATATTCATTGAATCCAATCATTCATTGCTCAAATCCAAGCAAATGCTACAAAGCGACTCCATAAATTCCGCAACAGATCTCCCTTTTCAAGAAACGCGAAGCGAATTTACAGGAACAAAACATACTACTTGCATGCCTCTCTATCAGTAGTATTACCGTTACGGAGGTAGTTGTGCGTGATCCTAGGGTAATAACAATATATTAATGGGAATTGGACACACATTCTGATTGAGCGATGTAGCATAGCTGAACACATTCGCCTTGTACTAGCTATTGTTTTTGCCTCGTCATTTTTGGTCTATCAACCTTCTTTCCCACTCCTTCCCCACACGCATTTAGCGAACAGTTGCTCCATATGTGGATGGAGACCTTGTGTTCCTCCGTGAAAGTTGTCGAGAAGTGGTACTACCCCTGGTCTTACCTGCGCAGTCCCGGATGGGTGCAAATTAAATGTGAACTCCGGTAAGTTGCTGTTTGCGAGCACATAGGTATACCTGATGGCAGACCCCTCCGTTTGAATGAAGTGAAAAGGTTGCCGGTCGATACTTTCAATGCTGATGACCTTGGACTGTGTCTTAGGGTCCAAGAGTAGTCAATGAGAGGATTCAACGTGTTTTTTCACAAATACCACCCGATTCTTTTTTATTTAGAAGTAGTAGGGCTGAATGAGATGACTCAGAACGGTTAGAACGCCAATTCGCTGACCGGAAGGTCCGTGGTTCGAACCCAACCTTTTCCTCTCGACTTCCCTTATCAAGGTTTGGACAACTTGGCAGTATCCCAGCCCTCATGCTCCCGTTGGACATCGAAAGGGTGTACAACTGAATGATTTAGTATGGCTGAGCACCGGAGATTATTGGACGTGTTTTCTATTGAGTCATTATCAATGAAATCCAATGAAGTCTACATAGGGATCACCTTGGGTAGGGTAACCCAGGTATTCCAGGTATCATTCAGGCGCTAATTTCTGAAGTAATTTTGCCGGTTTTTTGTCATATGCTCCGGGTTCAATTGTATATAAAGAGCGCTTTGTCGTGATGCCTAGTCACCTCCAGTGGATTGTGAAGGGGGGTTGTTTAGAGGACCATAATAGCATAAATTCATACCATAGATTCATCGAATTGTTCATACCTGTGGGTTTAATACCGTGTGTGTATAGCTATCCCATTCTGTCTCACTCCCATACCCGTTGAATTTCTCATCTCCATCAGAGTGCTAAGTCAGTTCGCCTTCCACCTGTCCCCAATCTACGAACTTGCGACCAACCGACTCGACACTGCCAGCGAAACAAATTCGAAAACAGCCTCCTCTCGAAGACCCACACGTTCAATGGTAACGGTTAATTCGCTCGTGGATGCAGCTGGCGCAAAGCCCTTAAGAAGGCTGACAAAGGCTGCTGTCGCCAAAGACCCAATGAACGATCCGCCATCACTAGTCTCGAGTTTCCTGTCGAACACATCGACGCAAGATGATTCCAAGGAGTTAGAGCGTACCTACAGAATGGTTGCAGGAAACACTGGAGATATGTTGGTCAAATACCACTTATTCAGTTGGGAACTGTGATTGTGTGTTGTCAGCCGCGCCTTCGTCCAAGTCACAAAAACCACAGCTTACAAGTTGAACACTTCTGTGATCTTAATGTCGTTCGTCTGTGTTTCGGCGCAGGACGATTCTCATGGAACCGTTTGGAGCATTTCCCCATCCGCTTCCCTCTTCTCCAACAACCCACTACTGCCTTCCAATCTGATCTATGTTGTTCACGTTTATTCTTGTTTGAAATTTTCGACAATTAGACTTCTCTCTTTCTCCTGATGACCGCCACCACTGTTCATTTTTCCGAACATATCACTTTACTCCGTGTGAATACGACTCAGCGTCCACATTCCCAGTATTGTAACTAGGATACTGTATGGTCATCCTCCTGTTTTGTTTTGTTTTGTTTTGTTTGCTTTTGTTGCCCGTGTATCTTTGTCGTCTTTTCTGTATTTTCCATGTTTTTCTGACCAAGTTCCTTAGCATCATGTGATCAACCGCTCGATTTTCGACTACGCTGTTTGTCTTTGTGCTTTGTGAGCAAATCCGAGAATTAGATTTTTGAAATGAACAAACTACGCAGAATATTAGTTGTGATATCGTCGTGCTCAAGCCGGACACCTCAATCTTACTTTCTCGGGTGTGTAACTTCTCCCTAAACCGCTTCTGCCCACTGAGTCGTTCGCTGCGGTCTGGATGGGCGGGATTTCTTTGCCTGGACAGCACACTTGCATAACGTGGACGGTTCTGAGAAAGAAATAGCCCAACTATTGCCACCAACATTTTGGTGGCTTGTTGTGGCAATATGTTACGGGACCACAAGTAACGACGCGGATGTAATCGTTGCTCACTAGACTAATGCCAGACATAATCATCATCGGCAGCATGACATCAGTATTCAACACCGATGCTTTACTACCGTATGTCACAGTTGTACCTGGGCTGGGATACTGTCAGAGCGCTTACACATAGACAGGAGGACGGTTAAGATCCTCAACCAAAGCCTTTGGCTCAAAAGCCTAACCGCAAGGCAGCGGTTTTCGCCTGGAAATGCATTGCCATTTCTACGGAACAAATCGCCATATGTTCCAACCCCCGATCTGGAGGACCAGGAGACTCATCGTCATCACTGTCAGCTGTAATAACCGCGTACCTGTCGTACAGTGGTTGTAGCTGCCGCAGTTCCGTTCACCGATGATTTTTTTTTGGGGGGGGGAGGGAGCTGCGCATTGCAGGCGGGAGATGATAAATTGCCGCATAAATCCAGCACTGTCAGTGGGCTGTTAAGTGGGGGGATTGGGAAGGGAGCTATGCACTGAAGGCAATAGCTTGGACGCACGAGCGCCACTGAGGTCGCGACTGGGCCATGTCCGACACTGTCTGTAACCATTGATGTGGACCGTATCGGGGTCCCCATCCAGGAAGACGGCAGTGACCAGCGCAGCTGAGTTTGCTGGTAATGGTTTTCATACTTCGCTGCCAAGTCATTGTTTGACCGCCTCTGACTTTCTTCCACCCTTCACGAGGTTGTGCGAAAAGAGCCCTTGGAGGAATTCGGTCGACTGGCATACGCAGCACGTGGCCCAGCCGGCGCAACCTATGCAGTGTGATCAGGCCTTTAACCACTGACCAACTTGGTATGAGAGGCTCTGTGAGTGTCGCGGGGACACTCTCCAGTAAGGCTCAATTGGTCACTGAGGTGCACAAACCGTCACACCACGATGAGGTCCAGTCTCTTCATGGCAGTATGCCAGACAAGTATTTTTCGAGTTACCTAGGATACATACAATACCCTACACCCTAAATTGTACTCTATAGCATGCATTTACCGTTTATCTATGTTCAAATCCACTCTCTGGCAACCTCACATGACCATCGTGTTTCTCAAGCCTAAATCTCACAATTTTGTTCCTGAACTATTAAAAATTCCCATCTGGTCAGGCAATGCAAAAAGTATCTGTGTGCCGACCAACAGCTTTCCACCAGATGCGTAAGCGAAGGAAGTAGAAAGTTTGCCCCATCACCCTCGGTTGGAAGTGCCTCTTCTTCCAATATAAATTGAGCGGAACTCATAGTGATATATAATGTGTTTCCAAAACAATTTCCGGTATACACTGCGTTATTTACGTCAGCGCTCCCACATCGATCTTCTCAACTATTATTTTTTTAAGTCGGTTACGTGACAACTTACCACGATAAAACATCCGGCGTACATCTGCTACTGACTATCACAAACAGTATTTTTAGCCACAAGAGCGCGAAGGGTCAATATTGTAACGCAACCTCTCTTGAGTTATCCGGCATTTACTGGCTGTACCAATCCGATTGCAGGAAGTTGTTTGTCCCTATCCGTCTAAAAAATACGTAGCCGTATTCCAGAAATAGCGTGGTAATGCACCATTTAGAACTCGGAAACATAAGTCACGTACACTGTCATAATCTCCCCTTAGAGAATGACTTACGCCGGTCTATGTCCAGTGCTCATATTGCGGAACTGGTTATCCACCGATTGCGATTCCTAGATTTTATTCGCCTGGCTATTCGCAGAACAGAAAATCGTAGCATCTGGTGTTCTGCGTACCTGCCGAACGATGTTTCGCTGCTACATTGACCCTCCTCTGGATGGTTCTGACGGAGGAGTGAGGTGGCTGTACGTTTTTGAGATCCACTTCACTGGAAAGGAAACTGCTCGATATTCAGCGCCTCATGGCAAGTCTCTTCGTGTCTCTGGAATGGTACTTGTTTTCGACATGTGTTACGTATGCCGAACCGTCGTTTGCCGAAGGGAGTACTGTTTTCCATGCCCAATTCGGAGTGGCGTAAACAGAGAGGTGGCCAACCCTTGACTTGGGAAAGGAGTATGAAGGAGATCACGAAACACTTGGGTGCTGCCGGTGCTAATCGCCTTCCAGGATGGGGACCGCGTGATCCTCACTGTGCCTGGTTGGAGACACTACAAGATATGGCTGCCAACCGATGTCAGTGGCGTTCTTGTTGTCAGTTTCTGTCCAGATTGCCTGAGTGAATGTCTGGAGGTGTAGGCACCTCGGAATGGTTATGTTAAGCTAGCACTAAGTCCATCCCCCATCCACCTTTATTCTTTTCTTCACAATAAGGCTTTCAAATAAGTCATGGCTGTACGGCAGTGAAGTATCGGTGCTGAACACTGATGTCATGCTGTCAATGATGATGATGATGATGATTCACGCCTACACTCAATCTGAACTCTGCTGTAATCGACCACTATATTAGAACATGACGGCCGACTTCGTTTTTCGACCTATCCAAGCTTAGGCTTGCCGCGGTTACACACGTTTTAACCCTAATCAGCAATGTGCTCATTTTCGGTTTCCTGGTTGTCATGTAATTGAGTTGTCACAAAAATCCAAGTAGGGCCACAGAAGTACGTGGAACAGCGCATGACCGAAAGGACTGTCAAAACGGACTTTTCATGGCTCCAATTCTCACTTGATTTGTACTTGAACAAGAAGGACAGCGAAACTGAGTGGCTGGAGTGGATCTTATGGTACCGCGACTGTTTTACCCGTTTCACCTACGCGCCTTGTTGAAATTCGTGGATGTACTATCCGGTATATCAACAGCCTCGTGCATTGTTTGTTCATTTGCCGGAAGTTTTAAAAATTCTGGGAATGAAATTATTAGAGCTGTGGCTGATAAGCAGTGCGTTTATATAGGTTCATCGCTGGGCTCCCTGAGTCGTATCGAAGGCCGGATAAGTACCCTGCAAGGTTCGTTAACAAGTGGGATGTCTATTTCTCCCATACAAAGATATCGGTCCAGTTTCCGGATAAAATGAGGGACCTTACTTGACGCCCTCGTGGACACTTTGATCGCCAAGGACCGGAGTGACTTCCTCCGTCAGTTACCATTTACTTTATGATCCTCACCAAATGAGGTCCAAATATCCCTATGTCCTTTTTACCATATTTAGGTATATTTTTTCTACTCACTCTTACTGGAGAATGAAATGGCATCCAGATTTCTCGACCCAAGACAAAGTATAGTGGAGTTTGTGTACTCTGGTAAATCTTCCGAAGGAACTTATTGTCGCCGACTGAAAGACGGCGAAGACGTTTGCGCAAACAAATAAACTAGATAATTTCCACCAGATTGATGCAGTTGATTTCAAGGGATAGGTGGAATAGATGTAAAACTCGCTGTTAGAACGCTTCCAGACCGAAAAGTATGTGTGCAGAGAACGGCTAGTCGCAAGAGTCATCATCGGTCACCATACGAGGAGGATAGCAGATTCGTGGGCGGAGCTACCAAACACGCGATCAGCGAGGCGGGATCGGGAGCTCAAAGCAGGAAAGTCACCATTGGCTGGACAAGAGCGAACAAACAATTAACCATATTTGGGCATTCAGCCATCCTATGTATTCACGCACTAGTTCTACTTATACAGTATAGCCGTGTTTCTGGGCTTCGGTCCTCTCCTTATCGTATAGTCTGACCAGCTCCATTCAAGCGTAATCGATAGGCATTCTCACGTCACAACACTCCCCTGCTGTTGTTTGTGAAAGTCTTGGACAAATTTGCAGACACAAGGACCATCCTGTGAATAACCTGATAAACCGAAACACGTTACCGATGTGATTGCTGTTCGGTTGATAGACATTTACTGCTAGCTTCATCTGGCTGGACCGTTTGTTGTACTCGATCGAGTATCGCCAGTTCACTGCCGAGCCGTTCTACACAACGAACTGTCAAGCTTATCTCGCACACGTAAACAGTCGCACTTCCTACAAGGGATTCATCACACCCGATGACCTCTTGATGACTCGTAGTCAAGCATCTACCATTGTCAAAAGCCCGTGAGTACGATCTCTTCCAAACGCTTTGCTAGCTGAGTGTGCTTTGTTGTCACTTCGCATGCTACAATGAGGCTGCGGTAGATTAATTGATCAGGATTTGACCCGCTAACCTTGTTTTCCCCTAGATACCAGAGTTTGGCTGCTTCCTAAAGAAATAACGGTTTACGGTGGATGGGGTTCAGCGGCATGAAAAACGTTTCCAATCGAGTTGTTATGCAGGAGGGTTTGAAAAACGAACAAATAAATCTGGACAAGTAATCGGAGAATCGGCTGTTCAAAAATGAAGTTACTGATCGAAAATTCGCGAGTCGAAAAATGGTCGATCGCTCATAACACGGAGGCTTATCCGAAGTTCATCGGTAAACGTGACTGCTTGCTACCGTTCCGTAACCTAAAATGTAGCAAACAACAAAAAAATCAGCTGATTCCAGCCCGTCAATTCTGTAACTTGGCGTATGGAAGTTACGAACAATCATTGGAGATGTTGCCATCGAAAAGTGGTCTATGTTGCATATGTTGTGATATATGATACTGTGCTCAAACGGTGGTCGTGGGAAATGGATAAGTTGAAAAAACATCCGACCGCTTTCATATGCCGATGCCAGCAGTTAGGATATCTGATCGCCAACATTGCACCGATGTAGATTCCCAACTA